TGTAGTTACTGTGCAAACCACAGCTTTTTTCAAGGTCTGAAAGTGGGTGGTCTGTCTGGTTCCAAGTCCGCTTATAATACACACAATCATCCCAATCCTCTTGCATGGGTCAGGCCCTGGGCGTGGTTCTAGGGAAACAAAGGTAACTGGGAGAGGGTTCTGCTTCTGAAAGTGGGTGGTCTGTCTGGTTCCAAGTCCGCTTATAATACACACAATCATCCCAATCCCCTTGCATGGGTCAGGCCCTGGGCGTGGTTCTGGGGAAACAAAGGTAACTGGGAGAGGGTTCTGCTCTTGAGGGCTAGAGGCCAGAGGAAGTGGTGATGATGCAGAAAGCTGGACATTTTTCTCCCTACTGTCCCTTTGTCATTGGTCCCTTTATGTTCCCCAGCTCTATTAAAATAAGTAGTAAGTTGTTTTCATTTTTTAAAAAATCTTTTCTGGTTCCTTGGGCTTTGTAAATATGATTTAAAATTCCTATGACTGCTCCACTGCATGATAACAAAAATTATTTGCTTTGAGAAAAAAAGATGAGTCAGAACTTTAAATTTATATATAGTGAATATCTATAAACAGTAATGGCAATATTCTTAAATAATAAAATTTACATGATATATTTATTCCTTTTAAAAAATAGCAGAAGAGGACCACTGAATGATGGTAAGGACAATGTTAATATTTGTCCATTAGAGTAAAATAGTATTCAAATGGAGAGATACTTCATGTCTTGTATCTCACATTCATCTCCTGAGTAAATTAAAGCAGTTACAAGGGACTGTTCTTTTATTGGCTGCAGCAAATAATGTCCCTAACAGATTTATTCCCTCCTGGTCATCATCATTATCACCAGCAAACACTTCCAGGGTGCTTCTGGTAGGCAGGAGACGTAGTGCTGGGAGCTTTTCATCTCTCTGAGAAGACAGGGCATATTTATAATGGAGACAGATAACAATACAGTACATTAAGTGCCAAACAAGTGACATTGAAAATAAGTGTAACAGGAGTTTAAAGCAAGGAGAAGTTGTTGAAAAGAGGTGGGACTTGGGATCTAGGATCTGGGCCTAGAATGAAAGGCAGGAATTAGACTAGAGAGGAAGACGGAGCATGTCCAGGTGAGAGCACGTCGTGGACAGAAGGATGGGGCACAGATGTCCATGGAGAGCTTGCGGAGTAATGAGTTTCTCGAACATGAAGAGTAGGGGATGCTGATTATGTGGCAACATATAGATTAAATTAGTGGAATCTGGGTAATAATAACTTCTAACACTTATGTATTGTCATTATACATATATATGCATAACATATAGTGCTTTAGGTGTATTAACTCATTTGATTTTCACGATACTCCTATGAGGGAGGCATTATTTTACAGATGAGGAAACTGAGGCATGGTGCTGCTAACTGATTGCCCAGGGCATCTGGCAAAAGGCAGAAGCAGGATTCAAACCCAGACAGTCTGGCTCTACTGTCCAAGATCTTACCCATGAGGCTGGTAGGTCCTGACTGGAAGGTTGTGGGATTGGGGAATCTCAACTATATTTACCATGGGAAGGGGGCACCACTGCATGCTTAATAGGGATATTCTACAATTTTCTGCTTTGTCCATCACCAGTGGAGTGTGCAAGTTATTTAACTTCTCTGCATTCCAGTTTTACCATCTGATGAAAGGGGATGACAAGAGTACCTCATAGAGTTGTGTGGCACATAGGACTCAGTGAGCACCATTGTATTGCAGCCATTAACGTAGAATTGATTAATCAAATTGATTAACTGTACACAGCAAATGCACATTCACACACACATGAGTGCACACAGTGGGGGTGTAGGCAAGGGAACGTGAGTTGCTCAGTATACAGCAGGGGACCAAACTTTAGTGGGTTAAAAACTTATTGAACTTAATCCAGGAGTAATAAGCTGGTGAACTCCTGAAGAGCAGGGGTGATATACTTTTCTCTTATGCACCCTTACTTTCTGATTTTACTTACTGTTTTTTCTGATTAGAAAAGAGACATCAGCACAATGTGAGCATTTGACATATACAGAAGAGTGTTAGATGTACAGAAGAGAAAAAAACAATCATCCACAATCCAACCAAGCACTGCGTGCTCATATTGTTTTCTTTTCCTATTCATATGTATACATATGTGGTCCGTTAGGATTCCAGAGAAAATAGCACCAAATGCCAGGGTGGTCAGTCCAAAACATTTATTAGGAAAACTAACACACAGAGTGCTGCAGCAGTGCTCAACACCAGCAAGAAAAGAGGTGTTCTACCTAGACATGTCCACAACTGGAGATTTTATATGTAGTTCATATGAGGGCTTAAGGAATTTAGCTCAAGGGGGGTGGCTAGTTTCTATGTATTCAGCAACAGTTTAATCTTCAGTGTTTCAGACAATAATCTAAACATCCTTATCAGTGACTGGGAATATTTAAGGCCAGGGCTTGGGTTCAAGCCTGCATGGCAAACATGCAGCTGGGCAGGTCACAGAGCAGTCAAGGCACACTGTGTTTCTTTGTCATGACAGAAAAAGAAAGCAAGAGGACCCTACACAGCACAATCTGAATATAGGCAAAATATGTAAACAAAATATATACCAATGGCTGATACACACATGAAAAACATATTCAACATCATCAGTCATCAGAGAAATGCAGAATACTACCATGCGATATCAGTATGTACATGAGGATGTCTAAAATTGAAAAGACTAACAATATCAAATGTAGATGATGTCAACCTAAATAAAAGACAGAAAGGGAGACTCTCTAAAAGAAAATGACATTTATTCATGAACGGGCATGGCAATGGGAATATGTGTGCCATAGTAAACCATGTGTGTCTATCTAAGGAGGATGGGGCAAGAGGAAGCCTTTAAAGGCACAATAGGAAGGATTACACAAATTGTTTCAAAACAATAATCCTTGGCTACAGGATCAATAATAAGGGTGATTCCAGTCCAAGACTGGATAGGCAGTTGCTGGGCAGATGTACTCACAGAAGTATGTTTTTTGTGTAAGGTTGCAACGGCCTTTGTGCAAGGTTGTGTTTTTTGCAGAGTCCTTTGTGATAGTTCTTGTTATCAGGCATTCATGCATGAGAACATTCCTTGTTATCAGGCATTCATGCATGAGAACACTCCTCCCTTTATGGCCTTCCCTGGGTCCATTTGTCAAGGTTTGACACAAGTGAATCCATTTTAATTCTGACAGCTTTCAACAGTAAATATATTTTTAATCAATACATAATATTCCATAAAATGGTGACTCCCTCTTTTACTATTTTACTAAAGTTGAACTACTGGTTTCTTTATGATTCTTATTTTCATAAATAATGCTATGATGAACACCTTTATGCAGGTTCTTTGACTTTTGGCTTATTTCTAATTATTTCAGAAGTCATTTCTGAAAGGGAAAGTCCTAAGGAACATATTTTTTCCACATCTTTTTAACCAACAGTGCATTGCCCAGAAATGGAGTTTATGAATTTACTATTTTTTTTAAACTCAAGCTGAATTGGGTTAATAATAATAATTTTTCCCTGGAATGGAAGAAACTATTGATCTTTAAGATGCTACAACACTGGAATAATCATTGCAGAGTAAGAACAGATGGGCAACGGGAGAGAACACCTCCAGGTTTTCAGCTCGTGCAATCTCTACAGGAAGTGAGTTAGAAAGATTTGTTCCTTCATACACCTAAACTATTTGTATTTGCAAAAAAAGTGATCTTAAAACTTTAAGCATGTGTGAACTCAAGTTTTCGGAGAGGAAATAGACTCCTCAGTGTTTGCATGTTTATACACTTCAGGACTGCTTAGACTTCAGAGATCACGGTTGAAGGACTGGTTATAGCCCATTTGTATATTCTCACCAGGATGCCTGTTTTAATAGCCCTCAGATCCTCTCTGGCTCAATGCATATTTGATGGTCAAGATGGCCCAGGAAATTACAAGAGAAAACACAACCCTGCTTTAAGCAACCCTATGCCAGAGATCTATTTTGTGACTATAAAATCCTGAGAAGGCTTAGGAATGAAACATCTCTGATTTTCTGTTTCTATCAAAAGTTCATATGTCCTGGGCCGGCCCGGTGGCGCACTGCTACAGTGTGCCGCTTGGGAGCGCGGTGGCGCTCCTGCCGAGGGTTCGGATCCCACATACAGACCAGCCGCTCACTGGCTGAGCGAGGTGCGGGTGCAACACCGAGGGTTGCGATCCCGTTGCCAGTCCTGGTCCGGTACGGGCGTGACACTGAGGGTTGCGATCCATTGCCGGTCACGAAAAAAGACAAAAAAAGGAAAAAAAAATAAAAATAAAAAAAGTTCATATGTCCTGTAGGAAGCTACTGATACACTATCATAAATCAGGATAATTCATTGATTTAGACAAAATTAATCTTACTACTTAGAGCTCATCTTAGTACAGTAGTGAATGTATTTATTTGATAGAAAAATAATTATTATACATAGGAAACCATCTCACATTCACGTAATATGGTTCTTCTTTTTTTTTTTTTTTGTCATTTTTTGTGACCGGTAAGGTGATCGCAACCCTTGGCTTGGTGTCGCCCGCACCGCGCTCATCCAGTGAGCGCACCGGCCATCCCTATATAGGATCCGAACCTGCGGTGGGAGTGCTGCTGCGCTCCCAGCACCGCACTCACCCAAACCGCGCTCAGCCAGTGAGCGCACCGGCCATCCCTATATAGGATCCGAACCTGCGGTGGGAATGCTGCTGCGCTCCCAGCACCGCACTCACCCGAGTGAGCCATGGGGTCAGCCTGTAATATGGTTCTTTTAAAGGACTCGTCTTACCTTATCAACATTATTACCATAACACATTGCTTTAAAGCACTCAGCTAGATTGTTTTCCTGACTTTCATACGGAGAAATGAGGCTCAAGGAAGTTATGTGATTTGCTCAACATCCTGTAGGGAATAAAGAGCAAGCCAAAACAATCCAGACTCTTATTAGAACATTCTGTCTGCACAACATCGAACGGCAGGAGGGTAGGTGTCCTTTTCCTTACCGGTGGGTTTGACGACAACTGCCAAGAAGTCTGTGGTGAGAGAACTAACGTAGAGGAGAATGCAGGGTGCCTTGGTGGTGCTGAAACTGAAACGGATCTCCTCATGTGCCAGGTCTGGGACGGAGTTCTGCTGGTCGGGAGGGTTCTCTGTTCTGCTGCCCGAGTCTTTGGGACTGGGCACTGGTGCCTGGAAGTTATACCGTAGCCACATCCCCTCTTCAAAAAATGCTCCAACATCTGTTGAAAAGGAAAGAGAAAACTGAAAATTGAGGAGAGGTCTGATTGATGCTGATACTAGTAACATTTTAAACTTGGGTAGACTTAATTGTATGATGTCCTTGAAAGCCCTTCACTGAGGGCACACACTGGATCCAAAAAAAAAAAAAAAAGTATGCAACAGAGTATGAAAATCTGTGTAATTAGAAATTAATAGTAAATATTAAGAAACTTAAATCACACTGGAAAAAATTTCATGTACAGTACTCAAAGCAAAAAACTAACTTTTAGGCTGAAGAGATATACTGAAAATAAATGCAGTGTTGTGACAGAAACCCCTGATTTAAGGAGCTCATAGGAACATCTTTTTGAGATTGAATTTGCTTTGGACATTCACACAGGAAAGTCCTTGATAAACCCTATGTCCTCGGAGGCTTTGTGTATAGGGTTTAAAGTCACGTGATGTGAAGTTAGAGAAAATCAGGTTCAAATTTGGCTCTTCCGTTAATAAGCTGTGTAGCCTTGAGGGAAGTTACTTAACCAACTTCCCCAGGCCCTAGTATTTCATCTGTGAAGTGGAGAGTAATTAGCACTCAATAAATAGTACCTATTATTATTAGTATTAAGAAATTAGAAGAAAGGTCACTAACCTTTCCTGCATCAGCCTTTTCCTGTAGCCTAATCAGCACTAATTAGTTTTTAACCACTTCCTGGCAGACAAGCTCCTGCCGTAGGTTCCCCCAGTGTTCACTCATCAAGGTTCTAAAATCACCCCTGCTCACTATGAAAGGCTGAGACCCCCCGTGAAGAGTCATTTGGTCTTCACAGTTTCTGTTTCATGGTCCTCTACATGTGTCTTTCTGAAAGCATTTCTCAAACTTCATTGCGCATGGAACCCAATATTCTCATAACACTTGACATACCACTAAATTAACACTATGCAAAGTATATTGTGTCAAATACTATTCTACATTATAATTAACAGGAGAGGACAATTTTTTTTTTTTTTGTGACCGGTAAGGGGATCGCAACCCTCGGCTTGGCGTCGTCCGCACCACGTTCAGCCATTGAGCGCCCCGGCCACCCCTATACAGGATCCGAACCTGCGGCAGGAGCGCTGCTGTGCTCCCAGCGCCGCACTCTCCTGAGCGTGCCACGGGCTCGGCCCGGAGAGGACAATTTTTGATAGGAGTTTCTCATCTGGGAATTCTGACATTTGTTCTTGTTAAAGGAGTCAGCACAGCGTAGTGGAGTTAGATGTGAATACTGGCCTTGCCATAGCCAACTGTGTAAACTTGGACCAATGGCTTGAAACTCACTTACCCTTAGTTTCCTTCTCTGAAAAATGGGACCTCACAGGTGGTTGGGAGGATTAAATAACCCATGAACAGTTAGCTTAGTGCCTGAAATATATAAGTGCTCAATAAAGATTAGTTAAGTATTATTACAGATTACCATTATGTCCCGAGTGTGTCAGATTCCACCCCCTAACCTCCACCTTATGCCACCACGCACATGCAACACTCGGATAACTCCCATTGTGGCAGTTACAGAGAGTCCATTGCTCCTCACTGAGCTGTCATGGAAAGAGTTCAGTTAGCTGTAGGTTCTCAACTCTGGACAGTACTATTTTCCTCCTGGCCCTCTGACTCCAAGGTCTTTTGAGAATGTGCATGTGTGTGTTTACGTATATGCCGGGGGAAGACGGTGGTTATCAAAATGATTGGTGGGGTGCTGGTGGCATTTAGCCGGCAGGGGTCCTGCAGTGTGTGGGGCTGTCTTATGCAATTAAGAATTGTCCTCAAAATGCCAAAAGTATCCTTCTTGGGAAACACACGACTGAGCAAATACTTAATCTGTGCTCATTGCTGCATAATTTCCTGGAATGTGAGATAAACGTATGTGGTCAGTGCCCATGAGGAGCTTTCCATCTGGCAGTGGGTATGGAAGGAGACACATCCACACTGTGGGGAGCGATCATTATGGTGGTTTACTCAGAGGTGTGTGATGGGAACACCATTTCACTCCTGAACATCCTGAGTTAACTTTTCCATTCTCCTGCAAACATCTATTGAGCTCCGACAGCATGCCGGGCACAATGCTGGGCTCCGAGGTTATAGTCCTTGCTCTTAGGAGCTGTTGATCTGGGGGAGGATTCAGACAGATTCCCAGAGGATCAGGTGGACACGGGAGGCACAAGCCCTGTCTCCAGGGGCCAAGAATGACTTCCTGGGGGAAAAAGCATCTAAGCTGAGACCTAAAGTGCCAGAGGTGGGTAGCCATGCATAGGTGGAGGGGATGGAGATGAGCTTTCTCGCTGAGGGAGCAGCGTGCAAAAATATTTGGCAGTGAGGGGTCTGCAGACTGAGGCGTCATGCCACTGAGACAAAATTCATGTGCTCCTTCGACAATATGAGTCATTCATTCGAGACTCATGAGGCTCCCACTACATTTCAGCCTGGGTGTTGGGGATACAGTGAGCAAGATACAGGTGACCCTGCCCTCAGTAGTTCAGAGTCTGGTGGGACAGAAGGACGCTCCTAGGACAGACCTCTACAAAGGTGTCTAACAGATGGCAGAGGAGCAGGGAGCTGCAGGGGAGAGTCGGCAGGGCAGGCCACTAACAGCAAACACACCTTTGCCACAGAGAGCTTCCACCAGGGAATGTGGGGGGTCATAATATGAGAAGAGGTTTAGGCAGTGCTGGAGAGGGGAGGTAGACCAAGGCAGATCATGGAGGGAAATTCAGAAATCTAAAGAATTTAGATTAAAAAATCCAAAAATATGCCTCAGAAAATACTTCTGGTGTATTTTAGAGTCATCGTTAAAAAGTTTTATGGATTCATGTCAGTTTTGGCGGAAGGGATATACCATGCTTAAAAGTGTTATTCTGAAAGCACATCATAAACCAACTGTTAAACCAAGCCCTGGAGTGATGTGAATCATTTAAGATTCTAAGTGGCAGATTTACAGCTGCCATTTCATTGTTTCAAATTGTCTTAAGGAAATGCCAAATCAGGGTGCTGTAATAACTTTTAGGAAAGTAATACTTCCATCCTTTCTGAATGAATCAGTAAAATAATACTAATTTAACAAACCACAAATAACATAATTTCCCTCATTAAATTGTCAAAAAGTCATTGATTTAGAGTGCTTCACTTAAGTTTTTTTTATACTAGTAAGGGATAGTCTGTTTTATAATATTCAATTTTTTGATAGAATAAATGATAAATTTTGGATCTAGGTATTCTAAGATGCCTTATGAAAGAGATTTGTTGAATTACAGTGTGTTTCTCAAAATTTTGAAATGCATTATGCCATGTGTAGATTCAGGATCATAAAGGTGACAGTAACCTTGAAGTACACAAGTAACCTTGTCTTAACTATTTTTGTGTGCTCAACACAGACCATATTAAATTATCTGTGATCTAGGAAAAGAAGTTTGCAAATGTTTGAAATAAAACCCGCAAATCATTCATCCCAGAATAATACCATAAAGATATTCGTCCCCTTGTCTAACCAAATCTCTGAGGTTTTACCCTGGAGAAAAAATGAATGAACAAAAAACCCCAAACCAAACAGCTGGTACTTACCCCCTACTGTTCCTCAACTTTTTCCTCTCCAAATTAAATAATTCTATCCCTTTTGCCTTTTCACTTAGGATATATTTTGCAGCCTATATTTTTAAAATCGTCATGATTCTTTTTGTTCTCTCACTTCCCTATGAGGACCCAGAATTGAAAGTCCCAACTTACAAATGTGCTCTTTTCCAAAAATTTATTTTAAAGTCAGTAACTTGCAACTTGGAGATATTTCCCCACAGAAATGATGTTTTAAATGATGGTGAGTTTGCCAGGGGAGTCCACAAATGCTGAGCTATCCTGGTTGTGTAATAAAAGATAATTAAAGAGTGCCAGTGTGTATTGGAAATTAAAATAGAAAAGCAACAACAAAAAATGTTAAGGTTCATTTCTAATGTGAGAACTTCAGAGAATGCTGCTCCCATAAGGATTTCATCTAACTGATCCAGTGGTACGTTGGTAAATGTTAAACCATTGGCCCCGTGGGGGAGAAAAGCCCTGATTTGTAGTTTTTGCCTATTCCCATGGTGTAAATACTCCCACCTTGTCTGATTTCAAGCTGCCAAGATGACATCACTAAATACAGAATCCAAAAGAGAGATTTCCTGGAGTGCAGGAGCTGCCTCCAGCCCATGGTCTTCTATTCACTTACCCAGACACTGACCCAGTCATTCAAGCAAACCACATTCATGGAGCTCCTGTTGTGGTGGGTTTCCTGTTCATTATCTTCTTCTGTAAACAAACACTTTAATAGTTCCTTACACCTTCCTGCCTCTTCCCAGCTATCCTGGATTCTGAAAACTCTGTACAGATTCTGTGAAAAAATCTACTGGGAGCAGCAAGTGCACTAGAGAAAGCACAGGTCTGAGCTGCAGGCTTGGGGTCATTAAACTCTTTCATGGCTGAATTCCATTGCCCAGAATGATAACTCTCATTAACTGCTTTTTAATTAGTCATCTAGTACAAGAGTTACGTGAATTTTATGGAGTTGTGCTCCTAGAGACCTTGGCCATCGTCCTCTCGTGCATCATAATTCTGCACAGGGCAGGCTTGGAGTCTCCCAGAGCAATCTGCAGGGCACAGCTGTGTTTCAACTTGTTTCCAGTTGTTCTCCCAAGACCCTGCTATCCTGAAACACAACCAGTTTCTGTCCTGGCCTTACACTGGCAAAATCTGCTTTTTCTCCCCAAGTGCACCACTCTGAATTTCCCTCCTGAATTTTTTATTCTATTTGTTTGATGCTTTATTCAACTTACTATAATCATTTTGGACTAACTGCTTTGAACCTGGGATGGGTTAATGTTCACTTTTACCTGTTCTGTTTCCCTAGGTGGGTACATATCTACTGTAACCAATTTTCCACCATTTTCTCTAAAGGTCCAGCCACTTCCAGGTCAGTTTCTATGTAATAAGCTTTAAGTGTATGAATCTGTCCAATGA